TTGAGATGTCTCGCGATACTTTTGCCGCGTGTTGGTCTTCACGTGGGCCGCTCGTCGCCTGCAGGCAGGATGTCATCACCCGTTTCCCCAGACGTCGAACGTAACAGAAACCTTACCTGCGTAGAAGTGAGGAGTCGGTCCGCATTAGTGCAAGGCCAGCAGAAGGCCAGCCTGCACCTCCAGGTTCGAGACCGTGCGGTGGCTTGCCCTAGGTTTCCGAGGTCAGCACTTGTGGCAAAACGCGAGTAGGCAGGAAGCGTGTTCGTCCGTGTTGAATACGGTCGATGTAGAAGACCGAGAGCATCGCTCCGGCGACAGTGTTGTATCTAAGATCACCGGCGCTGCTGGAGATTCGGAGAGTCGCGTCGTGATGATCCGAGTGAGACGGCCATATCGTCGGCCCTGAGTTCGTCGAATCGGATCGAGCTAGCGTCATTGCTCTTTCCGCAGCTCCGCCTCAGCCTACACGTGTGTGCACTACGCAACGCCCTCATGTAGAACCTCTTTAGAAATACGCTGCCTCGGTTCTTTGGGTATGCGATAGTAATCATCCCACGATACACCATGGAACGAAGAGTGAGCCTCAAAGACCTCATTCGTAATGCCGGCGTCATCCCCGTCGAACAGCGCCAAGCAGTCCTCCCGGCCCCAACACAGCCGGCCGTCTCAGTCAGCGAGGAGGACATCTCGCAAGCGCGAAACATCCTGCTTGAACGGAGGGCCAAAAATCCCGAAAGCAAGAATGTGTTGAAGAGCATCTTCAAAAGCTCGAAAGAGAAGGACAAGGGACAGGATGGGGCGCAATTCTCGCAGGAGGAGCTCGACCAAGCCTTGTCCGCTGTCATCCGCAGTCCCACGACTGGACCCGGCCTAATCCAAGCCTTCCTCACTCTGGGCGCGAAAGTGAATATCATCGAGACAATCGACAAGAAGCGAAGATCGAGTAATCAGGCCAACACAGCATTGCGCCGCCGTAGCACGGTCTTGCAGCAGGCCGCAAGCCTGAGGAAAGCCGATGGTGTCAACATCCTCGCCGCCTCTGGTGCGGACCAACAGACCTTGGACGAAGGACTGAAGGCTGCTCTGGCTGCCGGCGATCAAGAAAGTATAGGCCTCTTACTGCGTCACGGGGCGGACCTGAACAACTTCCCCAATGCTTTGGCCAATGCAGTCCGATCGAATGACCTGAACTTCGTCAAGCTCTTGTTGCGAGCACCAAAGCCACTGCGTGCTCAAATCATCAATTCTTGCCTACCTGCAGCGGTCCAGCAAGGCTCGGATGCTGTCATATCTCTGCTGATAGCATACGGCGCTGACCCGAATTTTGACTCCGCAAGCGCCCTCAACATGGCGATTGGAAGACAGGCCTACAAGCTGGCCATCGCTTTGGTCGCTGGCCCGATTCGTCTCAACGAACCGAACCTGCAACATGCGCTCGACACTACCATGAGGCTACCAACGCGGCAAGCAACGCTGCAGTTCCTACAACTCTTGTTTTGCTGCGGGCTACCTCCCGATAGTCGTGGTCTACCGGATTTCCTCATCTGTCTGGCAAGAAGCAACGACACTGCTGGCGCGAAGATGATGGTCAGCTATGGCGTACCCACCACGGCTGATGATGCAGAGTGTCTGAGAGAGGCCACCGAAAACTCAAACTGGAGCTTAGTGGATGCCATTCTCCAGACTTCCATCGCCCCTCAGCATGCAACAGCAGCGCTTGCTGTTTTGCCGACCAACACCCCACAGCCAGATAGACTTCGCGTAGTCGACGCTTTGCTAAAGAAAGGCGCATCAGGTCCGCCTCTTGGTCGATTGCTCACGCAAGCCACAAAGGAGAAAGACACTCAGTTGATCGACCTCCTTCTTGGTGCTGGGGCACCCGTCGATTCAGGCGACAACGGCGCACTTCATTTTGCAGTGGTCAATCGAGATATCCGAACCCTGAAGTCTATTCTCAACGCTCGTCCCCCGCCAGAGACACTAGCGAACGTATTTCCGCTCATTTTCCGTACTGATGGAATATCGGTAACGGAACGACGTGAAATCGCACGGCTACTACTAGAGTACGGCGCAAGTGGTCCAGGTGTCGATCAAGCACTAGTCAATGCAATCGCAGACACGTCGGCTGGTCGGGATGGGGCTCTGATAACAGACCTTGTTCGAAAAGGTGCAAACGTCGACGAAAGAGCCTTGTCGCTCGCAGTGACACAAGTCGACATATCTCTTTTGCGTCTGCTCTGCAACACTAGACCCAACTCCTCAGCGACATCGGCAGCCCTACCTCTTGCCTTTGATTCACGAGCTGGCAGACATTCAAAAACACTCGAGATCATTGACTTGCTTCTCAATCATGGAATTGAAGAAGAGCCAGCTAGTCAGACGTTACAGATCGCCATCAATGACGGCCCCGACAACATTGATATCATCGAGCGGCTCCTCACTGCCAGCCCTAGACTACTAAGCACCGCGTTCAAGTACACGACAGCGATTGAAGATCCCCACAAGAAGGCACCAATACTCAATGCTTTACTGAAGCTAGGAGTACCACAAGACGCTCTGGACCAAGCCCTTGCCGCGGAGACACGACAGGCCGTTGCCACGAATGACATAACCAGTACCAGGTTGCTGTTGGGACAAGGAGCATCTGTGAGTCACAACGATGGCGAAGCGTTGAGTGTTGCGGTAGCTTCAGGAAACAGCTCGCTAATGGCATTAATACTCAGTGGACGTCACCAACCATCACGATCTAACGTCACGAGGTCGTTCCGTACATTGTTCACCGACGAGAAGTTGATGCTGGAAGGAAAGAAAGAGAGCATTGGTGAAATGGCGCAAGAGCTACTGGCCCGTGGAGTAGAGCAGTCTGCCATCGACGCAGCTCTGCGACTAGTCCTCAGCAACGAGCATAGTAAGTATACGGAGCCCTGGATTGATCTGTTGCTTCAATATCACGCGGATGTCAACACGGCGGATGGGGCATGCTTCGTCTTCGCAGCACAAAAGCACAGTCACACCATCTTTGAGAAGCTCATGCGTCACAACCCCAAGTTCAACGTCGTCGTTCCAGCGTTATTGAGTTCCAAGCTCCAAGACGAAGTAGTCGTTGCCGCAATACAGTCATGCCTCGATCACGGTTGTATACTTGAACAGCTCGGTGTCGGCTATAACAAGCCACCGATACTCATCACCACCATGACTGTGTACCCACGCAATAGCGCGCTCATCACGCTACTCCTGAAGCACGGCTTGAATACGGAAATAACCATCCCCACGGTTCTCCATTCGTCCTGCGGACCCGAAACTGTGCCCGCACTGCTTTGGGCATTAGCTCAACCACAAAAGCGCATTTCGGACGCCGTCATCTCCGCCCTTTTGGAAGCTGGAGCATCCGTTGACCGACTTTCTGCCGGTTCGGAGACTACGGCACTTATGCTCGCCGCTCGTGAGGGGCGTCATGAAATAGTGAATGCACTAGTCGTGCGGGGTTCGGATGCGGATCTTCGGGATGTCTGGAACAAATCCGCACTCTTCTACGCTAGCAGCAGTTGGTCTGGGGAAGCCACAGTGAAGATACTAGCGCCATGCTCGCTAGCAAATGATGGTGCACTACATGAGTCAGCCAGGGAACTCAACGTCGAGGTCACGAAGGCCTTGTTGGAGCATGCTCACGATCCAAACTACCCATCCCGTCTCCATGGCGGTAGGAATGTCCTTGGGGAGATATGTCTGAATGCGAGAGTCTCGACATCCGCGCATCGCTCGAAGCTTCGCCAGCTACTGCGTCTTCTCTTATCCAAGCGCGTAAACCCCAAATTCCGCGCTCGCAACGAGAAATCTAGTGTCATCCTCGCACTCGACAATGCCTACAGCGCCCTTCCCATCACAGAGGCTCTGCTAGAGACGGAGATATGGCAAGACCTCAACGATGAATCACACATCTACTGCGACGCAGCCTCGGGCCTGCATTACTCACCCTACTCTTACGTCGAGCTGATCGCCACGCCCGCCCGCGCTCCCGTCAAAAAGGCCCTACTCGATCTCCTTCGAGACAAAGCCTGTCTCCCAGTCTACTATTCCTCGTCGGCACTCCAACCCGTCGGCGCAACAGGCATCCCACCCGCGATCGCCAAACTCGTAGACAAGCAAAAGGAACACGAGCTCTCAATCCGCCACGAGAAGGAGAAGTTCGAGCACACTCGCACGATCGAAGAGACAAGCCACAAAGACATCCTCCGACGCAAGCGCGAGAGCCAAACCGTCGAACTGGAACTACAAACCAAAGCAACCCAACACTACACCGCCCTGGAGCAGCAGAAACACGAATTCGAAGTCCACCGCGTAAGGGAGGCGGAACGTATGAAGCGCTCTGAACGAGTGGCCTGGCATAACTTGGTACAAGAGCAAGAGCGGGATGCTGCTGCAGCACGAGCGGCTGCGGAGGAGAGGAAACTGAGGGAGGCTATGGCGGCTGAGAGCAAGATGATTGAGCAGCGGAAACAGGAGTTGGAGCATAGGGCTGGAGTGGAGAGGCGGATGTTGAAGGAGAAGGAGGAGCATTATGAGAGGAATGTTAAGAGGCAGAAGGAGGTTAGGCAGATTGAGGGTGGGCCGCCGCAGTGGGGGACTGTGGATTAGTGGTCTTACAGGGAGTGGTGAGATGGTGTTATGGGGTTCTTTTCGGGTTAGCGCAATGAGGTGGATTGGTGGACAGGTCTATCTTGCACTTGAAAGAATTCATCGATCATGACATGAGCTTTACATTGAACTATGCTCTTCCAAATGTGTACATGGGCAGACTTTAGAGTTTCTTCACCTTCATCTTCATTGACCCACGCGTCTGAGGTGTCCGAATGCGTCCTGCCTCCTCGGCAACGCGCTCACCTTCGCTTCGCTCCTTCCTCATCAAAACACCGTGCCACATCCAACCTAACAAACAGCCGCCACTACGACCTTCACCTCTCCACACAACAATTGCAAGCCACTGCAGCACTACTACGAAGATGGATCCGCAGCAGCAGTACATCGCACAAGTCAAGGAAGAATACGATGAGCTTGGCATCTGGGTGCCGGTGAATGAAGAACAAGAACCTGCTGAGGGCGTGGCCGCTGCTGTCCCTAAAGTCGAGCCAACCGATCAAGTAAGTTTATCTATGACAGGCTTATTGACTGGTAAGCTATGGTATTTACTACCGCATGCTGATACAAGCGATTTCAGACCACCACTACACACAACAAAACAAAGAAGTCCAAGAAAGCCAAGAAAGTCAGACGAATCGAACCTCTTACAAAAAGAGAACGCCATGTCCAACGTCTCGAGACGTTGAATTCCCAGCTCCGCAAAGACCTCAGAGAAGCTCGCGACGGAACAACAGTGCAGCGGATGAAAGACCTCGAGAGTCAAGTCCTCTTGCTGCAAGAAGCCGCTGGACCAAACAAAGCTAGTATCCTCAAGGACCTGAAGCTAGAAAATGTGCAGTTGCAGAAAAAGGTCGAGAACTTGCAGCGAAAGGTCAAGAATGCAGAGCGAGACGTTCGAGCTCACAACAACAGCATTGAGGATAGAGAGGAAAAGGTTGTGCTCAAAGGACGAGGCCACAAACTTGCGCAGGCAAAAGCCCAAAGCGATCTGGCAGTCCGTAATCTAAAGAAGCAACTGAAACAGGAGCAGAAGACCAGAAAGAGAGTGGAGGATCGCTGGCGTAAGGCTGAGGAGCGCTTGGCACACCTTACGGGTCTCGAGGGGAATGAGGCTGAGATGACTGAAGAATTGCTTAACGACGAAGAGTCTATGGATCAAAATATCATCAAGGACGAAGAGTTGATGGAGGATAAGTGATATCGAGCAACGCAAGACATGCGCGAGAAGCTGCACGGAGATTTGAGGCTCTTATGCAAAAGTTATCATGCCTTGAATTCTGCATTGAGCTATGCTCTTCCAATCATGTACATTTGCAGATTTCGAGGGTTCGTCACCTCCGATGTGTCCAATCGTTATCGCATCGCCTCGGCAACGCACTCACCTTCACCTCGCTCCTTCCACGTCTGTGAACTTCGCCACGTGTGCGCTTACTCACTTCACAACACACCCCGCTTCTTCAATCTGAGCTTTCCCACCACTTTCAGCCCTAACTCGCAACGGCGACCCAGCTATCATGGAACAGTATCGGCAGTCCGCAACGCAAATCAAGGATGAGGAGGAAGATGACGAGCTCGAAAACTGGATACCGTTAAAGCAGGAGCAAGACCTCGACGAGCGCGTTCCCGCTGTCGTACCCAAAGCCGGATCATCTGGCGAGGTGAGTGCGCTCAGTCTACGGACAAGCTCACCGAATGGCGCACTGTCGTCTCTCAATGCATATACTAACTACAACATCAACAGGGCACTCTTACTTCCTATAGACGAGAGAATAAACGCAATCGATTTCGAGAGATCCACCGTTCCACCGGTAAACGAGGACGCAGACAAAGAGACCCCCAGCGACTGCCAAAGAGAGTGTACCTAGCAGAGAAAAAACGAAAAGTTGAGGCGATGAGCTATCAGCCGGGCAAAAAAGAGATCCGGGATTCTCAGATCCAGCAAGAGCTCTCTGACACCCGCAAGATGATAGAAGAACTTAGAGCACGCTCACAAATGGGTGAACCGAATACACAAGCTTCGCCTCCCTGTCAAGAACCCGAGGCGATCGTTGTCACGAAGCAAGCGAGTACCATAGCAGCCATAAGAGCAGACATAGCGCGCCTGGAGCAAGAACTAAAGGAAGCATGTCGGGCGGGCGAGAACGCTATACGCGATGCTCGCGCCGCCGGTAATAACAACAGCGATGTTGAGGCTCTGGAGAAACAACTTGCAGGGGAGCAAGGGAAGGATAGGGCGATGGTTAGGAGGATGCAGAAAGCTCTTAAGAAAGAGCAGGACAAGAGTGGAGAAGCGCATAGTGGCTCACATCAGGTCAATGAGCAGGAGGCTGGCATGACGGGCTGGCCAGGAAGTCTTGATCTACCGATTAGACAGCTCATCAGGGTTGAAGAAGAGGGAGGACATGGAGTTTGAGGACGACGAGTAGCAGCGAGGGTATCGGGAACGACAAGGAAAGCTTCTGCATCTGTGGACAAGACTCGTCACGAAATTTGAAGAAGGATCAAGAGATCGCATGGAGGAGTGAACAACACCTATCGTAAGCAGAAATACGAGCAATCACGGTGATGTAGGATTATGATAATCACGGCACATCTACCCGAACATCGTATGTCACGTCACCCCATTCCTCTCTGACACATACTGTCACACGTCCAAAGTTGAGAAGCAGCATGTGAATCATTCATTCTCTGACCAACACCGGGTATAAACTACACCATCCTTCCCCATCCCCACATATCACATGACATTCATATACAATACCAACCCACCAACCCCCATCACTGCACCTCAAAAACCCCACTAACCCCCTCAAACTCCTCAATAGCTCCCCCAACTTTCTTCGCATCCCCATAATACCTAATCCGATACCTCCCCTTCTCCGTCCCCAGAACCGGCGTATCCCAACTAATCGTCACATCACTCGTCCCCGTAAGCCCATTCACCCTCTTCCACTGATACACGACCTCCCAATCCTCGTCGTTCTTAACCTGCGTCCACACCCCACTACCATCACTATCACTACTGCTCTGTTTCTCTATAGCAGCAAACGTGCCTTCAAGACGGAGGTTGTTACGCGGATTCGCGCCGACAAACGTCGCGGAGACGGTGGCGCCGCGGGCGTAGGTAGGCAGGACGTCTTTTGTGACTTGGCCGAAGGAGCGGCCAAAGCCGGGGCCGTCGTAGACGACGCCGGTGATGAGGGAGATGGATTTGTCGCGGTTGTCTGGGGGCGAGGGGCCGGGCGGAGGGGGTTGGAGGGAGGAGTCGGAGAGGTAGGGGAGGTAGGACAGGGTGGCGTTGATGTATGCGTTTAAGGTGTGGGGGCCGTAGAGGGTGGAAGCGCCTTCGTAGCGTTGGATGCTGTATTCTTCTTCCGTGGCGATGTAGTGCGTGTAGCTGTTTGCTGGGCCGCCTAGTACGACGATGGGTGAGGTGGCGATGGCGGAGGAGACGACGGCGTTGTGGACGGCTTCGCGCCAGCGGCGGCCGGACATGGTTGTTGCTTCGCCGGGGGAGACGATGATGACGAGTTGGCCGACTCGGAGGACTTGGATGTCGACGATGTTTGGGGACCAGGGGTATGGTACGTTGGCTTGGCCGACGTTCAGTAAGACGGGCTTCGGGTACTGGCACTCCTTTTGCTCTTTGCTTGGTGGTGCGATGGCGCTGCCGACGAGGTTCCAGAAGGGATTCGAGGGCGCGCCGGGGTCGTTTTGGACAAAGTCAAAGGCGCCGGGGCCGTCGGATGTGCCGGCTGCGAAGGAGTTACCCATGGCTGCGGGACATGTGTGGACGACGGATCCATTGCTGAGGGTGAAGGTGAAGTTGGAGAAGTCGACATAGGTGTGGAACGAGCGGACCTTGCCAGAGATGGGCGTGAAGGCATTGAAGTCGTAGATGCTCCTGGCACCCTCGGCCTGACGCCTGCCAATCTCGTAGCAGGACTTGTGGCCTCCGTCGTCCAGACCGAAGAAGGGTCCACGACCGTGGCAGTCCTGGCTCTTTCCTCCGCAAGTGCTGTCATTGAGTCGGCACTGCTGGCCTGAACCGTCTTCGCAATAGGCGCCGAGTACGTTGGGCGTCGTGTCACCGACATTAGCTTGCGAGAAGCCTGCCACAAAGCCCTCGGCAGCATTTGAGTCGGCCGCATTGGCCTCCATATCCTTCTCCAGCAAATATGCGGCCACGCCCTTGTTATCTCCCGCGATGAGCGTCTGATTTCCTAGCATACTGGTGCCATGGACAGGGAACCAATTCAAGATGCCAATGCTCTTTCCATCACTAGCTCTCGTGAACTTCAGAAGTGTCATGGTCTTGTCCACATTGTCCGTGTAGCGATCGCGTTCTGCTTGGGGGTTGGCGAGGTAGGCGAACAGACTACGGTTGATGTTCGCATCAGCAATCTTCGCACTACCAGCGCTGACAGTTCCCAGGGTAAGTCCTTCATGCGCCCTCTTGATAGACAGAAGCGTTCCGTCCACAATCGCGCGATAGCTCTGCTTGTCGAAACCCTGACTCGTGATTTGCGGGAGGAGGTAATTCAACCAGGCTCCCGGTCCGGCATGGCTGTGGGTGCCAGTCACGGCGACATTGTTCTTCCCGTATACAGAGTACTCTGACCCCATAGCCTGAAGCCCTTCCAAGATGCCATTTCGGATGGCAGTGTCTCCGGACTGGGTGTCGAGAACGAGGTACACGAAGCGTTCGCTGGCTTCGTCCGGGTTGCCGACGATGAAGGCGCGGGAGTAGAGGCGTTGGCGGAGTCCAGATCCGATTTGCGACGAGTTGGCGTAGCCCATCATGTTGAGCTCGACGACGGGACTGTGGCGACGTTAGTACAGTCGCATGATGGTATTCTCGCCACATACCCAGTGATATCCGCCTTGCCAACGCCGACAAGGTACGAAGAAGCGTCGCCAGCCTGGCCTCCATCCTGCTTCTCGCTATTGAAGACATCCTGCTGGGCTCCACTGTACGTCTGATCGAGGCGCGCATGCCAGAAGTCGACGACGGGGAATCCGAGGTTGATGACGAGCTGAGCGATGATCAACGAGGCAACAAGGGCCGCACCCAGTGCGACTGCGATGTGTGAGCGCGCCATGGACGCGAAGAGATGTCTGGGCGGAAGTGTGCGGAAAGAAGCTGGAAGCCGTTGGACGGGGCGCGGCGAGGTTCTTGTACGCTACTGCTGGCACCGGAAGCTACGCGTGCCAGACGTGTAGAGGGTTGCACATGGACGTGCAGTGAATGAGCAAGCTGCAAGGAAGATAGATAGACAGGGGAGACAAAGTATCGCCTCTGGCCACACAGCAGCGCGAAGCTTGACAGTCGCGCCTGGCACCTGCATTGCATGACGTTGCGGGGTTCCTCGCCGTCTGGTTGGCGGGGAGCCCGGACGCGATCAGTGCCTAAATCTACCCGTGCAGGCCTGCTTCTCTAGTTTCGCGACACCCTTCCACCTCATCTGCGCATCCAATACACCATCTGCCATCCACCTCGCCCTTATCCCGGCCCGCTGCACGTCGCTTGCCCGCCATGCCCCTCATCCAGGAATCCTACGACCATCTCCCTTGTACGTCCAATTTGCTCCTGCCCCAACACAGCAACCATGTCCGATGCGCCCAGTCACGCGCGACATCTGGACTGATAACCCCGTTATTGCCTCGCTAACTGCATATAGACGTCGATACGGAGCTCTCAGCTGCGAGCCTAGTCGCTGCTCGCCATGCCATCAACGCCGATATCAGAGCCGCGGGCGTAGACACCACAGACATGCATCCGGCGCTTATACCAGCAGCCACGAAATACACACCCACCTTTTCCGACTTCATCACGCGCGAGCATGCGCGCCTCGACGACCATCCTACGTCGAAGCTGTCTGGCGTCGATTTGAAGCGCTATGAGGATCTCGATGCGCCCGAGAGCACGACACCGACGAGCGACGAGGAGAGGCCGGAGCTGCTGGAGCGGTGGAATAAGGCGCTGAAGCAGGCGTACACGAGCTCGGAGTATGTGCAGGGCAGGCTGACGCAGTTGGGCCTGTTAGAGAAATTCGGGAAGAATGCGTGGTTGGTGGGGAACTCGCAGCTGGAGGATATACTCAAGGGCGTCGAGGCTGAGCTGGCGGATTTGGGCAAGCAGCAGGAAGAGGTGGAGATGGCGAGGAGGGCGCAGCAGGATAGCGCGGGTGCTGAGCTCAAGACGCTCGAGGAGACGTGGAAGAAGGGTGTAGGGAGAGTCCTGGAGACCGAGGTCGCGGCTGAAGGGTTGAAGCTGCAGATTCTGGAGAAGAGGAGGGCAGGCGCAGTTTGAAAATTTCATCACCATCGAGTGAAGAGCATAGTTGCATGATACCCAATACACACATCACAAAGAATTACTACACATGCAATATGATTTACGACGAACAGGTCGCAATCAGTGATCATTACTAGGAACTATATAGCTAAAGTAGCAGGGGTACTCGTTTATAGAATTGAAAAGCCACGCCTCATTCGCCATCGCTGCTCTGCTCATCCGCAAAGAACAAGTCAAGGAAAAACGTTTCATCCCTTTTTTGGGTATCGAACTCCATCGTCATTAGCTGAAATGAAAGAAGACCATCCACTAGTAAACAATACGCTCGTCGAAGACGGGTGCCTCGCGCGAGTGACCATCCTCAACACCCTTCCAGTACACCTTGCCCTTCTCGTTGAAGGTAGCCTGCTCGTCCGTGATGACGAGGCCAGGGACGGTCTTCTGCGTGTCCCTGATCTCGCGCGTGCTGATGCCCATGTCGTCCTTGACGATCCAGATCACGGGTGTGGGGCTGGTGACGGAGGGGTTGAAGAAGGCGCGCTTCTGGATCTCCATGGGTAGAGGCTCTTGCGGGTGGTGGTAGAACTGGTCGAGAGACGCGGAGAGGTTGTGGATCGAGTTCTTCTCGGGGTTGAACATCTTGGCCAGGAAGCCGGGCATGCGAGTGGCCTTGGGGGCATAGCTGGGGGTGGCGTCGGTGGTGTGGACCTTCTCGCCGTTCTGCGTGTGCATGCCGTCCTCGTGGTGGCCGTTGGTGACGCTGCCGTGGGCAGGGGATGGGTCGGTGTAGGCGAGGCGTGCTTCCTCGTGCTTCAGGGCGAATTTCAGAGTGAACTGGAAGACGAGGGTGAGGAAGAGGAGTAGGCACATGATGGCCAAGGGACCGACGGCTTGGATGTTTTTGGCCGTGGCAATAGCGAACAGACCAATCAGGCAGATCTCAGACAGGTAGATACCGGTCATAAGCTGGCGAAGGGCCTTCTGGTAGGCTTCGCCCTTGGTGTCCAGGTTGGTCTCGTACACGTAAAGGAAGTTGTACCTGAAGGCAACGTAGATGAGCGAAAAGCCAATGGTAGCGAAACCGAGGATAAGAGGTGCAATGCCAGAGTAGGTGA